ACTACCTACCATAGCTCTTGCAAAAAATATCCACTTAATGTATCTTTTTGTTGAAGGAAATCTTTATTTCTATGCTATTTGGAAGTAGTGTTGTATTTTTAGTTCTTTTTACCGTCCTTGGAAACTTGAAATCCTTCTATTCAACTTGGTCCAGTTTCTATTGCTCTTATTTTTTGGACATTAACTATCATTTGGGGTTTTTCACTGTATATAGATCATTGCCTTCGGTAGTTTCTAGGGCCCTTTGGGACTACCATAGTTTTTCCAATTGCCACTGTACTTTTAAACTTTGAAAACTTTATCCTGTATCCCAATTCTCTGTATTATACCGTGATCCCTATAGCTGTGAAATTACTGATAAAAGCTGAGCAGTTAAAGGACATAATGATTACTGGACATTCTCTTCTCTGAGGTATTCAGCCAGGCATTTTTAGAACCTATATGTATACTTATATGCTACAATTTGGAGAATAAATGTTATTAATTAAATACTTTCCAAAAAGTTAATATCCACATATATTAACTATACCTGGAAAACTGACACCCAAATAACGATTTTGCTTTATGAACAATTTGATGATGTTTACGCCTCACTTTTTATTTCATCTGGATCCCCTTGGGTCAAGTCGTCTTATTTCTTATCTCCAAATACTTGTGTGCATTTCATCCAATGACAATCACTTTATCTCTCTATATTATCTGAGTAAAACTTAAAATTTAGTTTCAGGACTGATGTGTTGGTCTTAAGATTGAAGGCTTATTACAGTGACATTTTTTCATTGTTTATTTGTTTTGAGAGTAGCAAGAAATCTATCAAGCAAAGCTTGTAATGATTGTAACCTCCAGGGTACCAGAAAGAAAACATAAGGAAGCGTCAAATCATTAATAATGTACTTTCTTAATTGCAATGTCTTCAGAGAACATTATTGAACAAGAGGTGAAAAGTATGAAGAAACAAAATAGTATTTTAAAAATGCTGTCATTTAACATTGCTGCCAGCTGGTACTTTGTTAGATGAAGCATAGTAATCATAAATAACATTTCTTTCTTAAATTGTAATGTAGAGAAAGAGAGAGGATCGCAATGATAATATGGAAGATAATTATGAGTCATTGCCTAGAGACTAAATTGGATGCATTTATGCAGAAATATGCCAGAGGGAACTTGTTCATTGGATATGCACTGACAATGATTCTTTCCTTTGAGTTTCTCATTGTGAATTTGGACCTTGTGAAACTAGTAATCCTTGTGAGAATGGATCTGTGTGTAGAGAGAAAATGGATCTGGAAGCATTTCCCCTTGGGTACCAGTGTCAGTGTGGGAGGGCTTTGCAGGTCCCCAGGGTGAGATCACTGTCAGTCCTGCTTGCATGGACCTGGTTATGACCTTGAACTCACTCAGCCACAGCAATTCTTATAGAGCAGTCAACTAAGACTCTGATGGAGGAATGGAATAGTTCAGGATGCAACCATGGCTATCTAGTGAAGGTTATCGGCCTTCAATATCAAAACGAGTGCCAATTATTTTCACAAAACACCCCAATTCTGACAAATTAATTTATATTTATGTGGGTCATAATGGTAACAAATGAGAAAATTTAATGAGATGTGACCTCTATGTTCTGGTGTGAGAATTAACCATTTTTCTTTGTTTTGTAATGGTAGATTTTTTTGAAGTATTTATGTGTAGGTGTGAGAAAGCAATATTTACAATGATTTAAAATTATTTTAGCCCATCTATTACACAAACACACATACTTTTTCCTACCGAAATATGTATTCCTGAAGGAATATAAATTTACAAAGGAAAAAGAAAGAGTTAGGAAGAAAAGAAGAAAAAATGGAAGGAAAGGGAAAAAAGGAAGAAAGAAATATTGAATGTTGGAACCTGGATTTTTCTGTGGAATAGCATGCCAATAATGGATAATTTTATTAGGACACAGGAAAATAAAGGCATAAAATAGCCCTGTGAAGTGGATATGGCTAAGAGCCATGAGAGAGGAAAAAAAAATGAAAAAGAAAGAGACAGTGAGCTAGAAGGAGTTGGGAAAAAATGTCCATCTTATTTTGCCTTATTTAACCTCTTTTAAAATATATTTTTGCAATTTTTACATGATCCCTCACTAAATAAATAAATGGTTAAAATAAAATAATGTATGAAAAAGCACATTTTGATAGAAAGGTATTTTGTCTTTAAATGGTATCATTTAAATGAAAGTGTGATTTTTAAACCAAATATCTGCAAATGCATGTCCTTAAGAAGTGTAATAATTGTTTAATTGGGTGAAGAAGCCCAGGTTTAAAATAACAGGTAGAGGTGGGGCCCTAGCAAACTGTAATATCTGCATAGATATTAATATAGAATTAATTGTTCTAACACTGTGTCTTCTAAGCAAAATATATTTTGGGGTTGTGGGCCACCTCTTTGCTACTCCTGATTTAAACCAACATTACTGTCTTTTTTTTTTTTTAGATTTTGGTACTTTAAAGATTGTGTTTTAAAATGTGTGAAATTCTCAGATTACCTTGAAATAATTCACTACTATCTTATTTCTGAGTTCAAACCCAAAGGCTTTTGGGGGTGTTGGGAATGGTTCTCAAATTTCTGGGGCTCACTAGAAATAAGGAAGGCATGGTTGTATGCCTGAGAGAGAGGTCAACAAATTTTTTAGATCTAGATAGCCCTAGTATCAGGGTAATATATGGTTATATATGGCCACTTCTTATATGTTCTGAGTGACATAAATATATATATAATTTTATAAGTCTCTGTAAATATTTTAATTCTTAATTTCTTATACTATAAGAAAATACAATTGCCAAATATGCTACATATAATGCAATGCTACCTATTAAATTTTTGGAGATCATACATTATATACTATGGAAATGTGAATTTTGGATACCTGATATATTGATGTATTTTATAATAGCATTATCCATAATATATTTTGGACAATGTCCAAGGAGATTTAACTACTAGAGAACTAAAACATTTATTAAAAATTATATCACACATGTAAGCTGATATCAGCATAAAACTATGACACTGTATTCTTGACACTTTTTCAAAAATAAAATAGCATGGGAAGCCAAAATTTTGAATTCACATTATTAGTAGTAGTTTTACATGACTATATATGAGAAACAATCATTAATATGTATATGTCAATTTATAAATCTCAAACATTATGTGGTTATTCATCACATTGGCAGTACATTATTAAAATATTCACCTCTGTATTTTAACCACAAAGTTTTATGTTACCAGAAACTTTGACTCAGTACAACTAAAGTATGATGTTTCATGTTTAAGTATAGAATGAATAATACATACAGATTAATAGAAGTATTATCGGATGAAAATTTCAATTCAAAATAGTAGTATGGAATATTTATAAACAAAGACTGATACAAATACAGTGACTGTATTTTCTGGTAAAAATAATAACAACAAAACAAGACAATATGCTTAAAAAGTATTTTCTGATAAAATGGTGATTAATCACACAGCCCATAGTTAACAAATTAGACGTGAGAAAAACAATTTGTTATTTGTTTTAAACTTTAAATAAATTATGTTTGTTTATTTTCCCTACGGTATCCAATTTAATTCTCTAGGTTCTCATTGGGCCCATAGCTCATTTCTTAGATTCCTAACCCAGAATAGTTAACATTCAGAAAGTAAACTCTGTCTTTCAGACCCTTTGTTAATTTCAATTTATCTTTTCCTGTAAGTTTTCTTATAAAAGAGTTTACCATTTATCTACATGGAGAACATCTGCATCTATGCTGACATTAATTTGACTCCAGCTGTTTGTTACTTGCCAATTTGCATCAGTATCCGACATGACTTATAATCATGAACATTTTAAAAAATATCATTATGACTCATGGTACTCCACAATGTCTTAATTACATATTGTATCGCATTTGGGTTTAATTTGTTAACATACCTAATGCCCTATATACAATATAAAGATGCACCAACAGATACCATTTTATTTCATTAATTTATTTATAGCTATATCTGTATATTTATTAATCATTTATTTTCAATGAGATGCTAAAAACTAGGTTTCTTGATTTAAAAAAGTAAAGTAAAACAAAAGTAAAATCTTGTCTAAAGAGCTGTCAACTCTGTGTCTCCCTTGACTCTGGTTGGTGGCCATGGGCTGTCTTGCTTTCCTTCAAGGCCACAGTTACATTTGTTGTGCAGAATCCTGGCTGCAGAAACCTAGAAGCCACACAGTGCATTGACAAAGCTGTTTCCACCCAGGACCTACTCGTTTAATGAGAGTAGGATCAGGAACAGGCATGCGGCACAGAGTCAGTGCGACGGCTTGGTGGGTCTCAGGAATGGTGGGGACCCAGGCACCAATCCCACCTGCTGCAACCATGATCAAGCTGCCATCATGTCCTTGAGATGCTTCAGAGACTGTTCTTCTTCCATCATTAATGGTAAAATAGAGGACAGATTCTGATCATTACTTTTAAAAGATTACGGTGAAATGTGAAAGCTCTTTTTAACTAAGGTTTAGTAGTTCTATTTCAACTTTCAGATCACTTTGCACTTTAAGGTACCTTGTCACACAAAGAACTTTATAAACCAGTTAACATCCTGTTTATTAAACCTAAAACAATCTGGTAAAAGGTAATGATACAAAAGTGACCCATTTACCATAGACATTGTTTACTGACAAAACAAAAGAGATAGAGAGAAAACGGGATATTTTCATTGTTGCTTTGCAAATTGTTACCATATATTCATTGTGATTGTTCTTATTTCAAATAATTCAAGTTTTTAAGTTAACAGAACTGAGCAAGATAATTATTTAGAAACTGTTGTAGAAAATTGTGTAATAGAGTACAAAATATAAAAATTTACACTTTCTTTGGTTAACAGTGAAATGCATTCAGATGAATACAACATTCTTTAGGGTAATTAACATTACACCATGATTAAAGGAATGTTAAGAGTTTTCTTTCTGTTACTTTCAGTGGTTGATGGCTTCTCCTGTTTATGCAGTCTCTGCTCTGCTGGTCTGAGGTGTAAACAGGACTTTGATGACTGCATCCTAAATGCCCATGAGAACAATTCTACCTGCAAAGATCTGTGTCTGGTTAGTATCCATGAATATTATTAATATATCTGAATGTGGGCTAGCATAAATTAACCCTTACAGGTATAGTTGACATTTGCCTTTGTTGCATATTGGTATGTGTATATATACATGTGCATACTTATAAAGATTAGAAAACAGAAACTCAAGCAATATTTTCTTAACCTAGTAGTAAAAGGATATTCTATTTACCATCATATATAGGTTAATGTAAATATTATAAAATGAGTAGTTTACTCTTTGGATTCACTATTCTTGGTGACGTTGAGTTTGTGTAAAATTTCAGAAGTTATTCTAAAAATGCGTTAATCTTATAGGAACCACTTTCATCTAACTAAAGGTATTGTATACACATATGTTATATATTTCATCATCATTTATAATCTTGCATTCTATTTTGATTTCCATCGCTTGCTGTATCCCCATCATTTCCTTCATTCATCTGCATTGGTGCTGTCCCTTCGGTACATATCCATTTGTCATCGCCTTTGTCACAAGCATGTGCCATTCTGCCTTAGACTGTGACACAGTTGGCAAATCAATGGGATCCCCTCTGGCCCTCTGGCTCCTCATTTTTCAGGAAGCCTGACATAAAAAAAAATGTCTACTCAAGGTGGATTTATGGACCAGCTTTAGAAAATATATGACAGGCAACACAAGTTAATGCTGTGACACCGGTGCAGGCTCAGAGCTGAGGCTGTAGCATCAGATCTGGCTTTCACAAAAGGACTACACTAGTTGAAGTTAGGAAAAAACGCTTTGAAAAACAGATCTGTTTTCATCCATATTTCAACTATCAGTGTACTGACATTGTTTTAACAGTAAAAAGATAATTTGTGGCAACTTGTTTCTTTGTCCAAGGAAGGCAGACACCTAAATGAAGAATTATAACTAAGGTCTGGATAGCCGTGACCAGACGCATCGATGGCGCAGGGGTTGTCTAGCCACTGTTAGGCATGTGTGTGGTCCAGTTGCTTTGTTTTTGTTCATTCCAGATTCTTCGTCTAAGTCTGTCAATCCCATCCCATTTTGGGGGGTTCCTGTAGGCCTGAGTGTGTCACCCTATGCTGGTCTCTGAGGTAAGAGTGGAATTCTTTCCAGGAAAAAGTTTCCTCACCTGCATATAGGATGTATGTAAAAGGTACATACCTCTTCTAGACCCTCTTGCATCTGTATTTTAGACATGTAATTGCAGTTGCTCTTTTCAGGCCCCAAGGAAGGGACAAGGTGTTGTCTAGTGATGAGTGACCTTTAAAGCAGCAGAGCTGAGAGACAGGAGATCATTGTTGATCTCCTGACTGAACCCCCGTGTGCCTGCCCAACCCTTGGATCTAATTATGTGAGATCACTTATGACACATTTTTAAGTATAGCTTGAATCAAAGTTCCTTTGATTTGCAGGTAAATCATCTAATTTCCATAATGTGATTAAACTTTATTTTAGTCTATGATTTCAGCCATAACTTCAGCAATAATAGAAGTTTATTATAGTAGAAAGAGCTTCATACCCATAATCATAAGATTCCATTTCTACACCTGACCTTGAGAGAAATTATCTGTGTGACACTAAGACAGACTTTTGACAAGTCAGGAACTGCAACTTTAGGAGCTGCATCATATCCAAGAACAGAACTTCTAAGTAGAGTATTCTCTCATGTATCCATTTTATAAGTTGCCCATAAGAAACTATTCAGACTAACTCTAGACAAGTATTAGTTTAAAATCTTGACTCATACTTCCAGAAATTGTTATAATATAATAAAGAAGAATAAGAATTTAAAAAAAAATTGGAACTCAGAAACAGAGAATAAAATGGTAGTTATCAGAAATTGGGGGTTGGCGGAAATTACAAGATGCTAGTCAAAGGGTATAAGTCTTCAGTTATAAAATGAATAAGTTCTAGGGACCTAATGTGACTATAATCTAATAATGACTATAACTAATAATACTATGTGTATACTTAAAATTTGCTAAGAGAGTAAATCTTAAGCATTCTCATTACAAACACCAAAAAGGTAGTTATGTGAGGTGATCAATGTGTTAATTAACTTTATTGTGTTAATAATTTCACAATGTATACATATATCAAGCCATCACATTATACACTTCATTTGTCAATTATACTTCAATAAAGACCAGGGGCAGGGAAGAATAAAAAACAAGCAAACAAACAGAAAGCAGCAGGGTTGAAAAGGAAATAAAATTCTCAAACTACATAAAGTTTGCTATCATATTTTATTAATTGATTTAAATGTATTAGAATATACAAGGAGATCATTGAAATTACCTAATTCCTAACTATAATTTATATATCAATTATAAGAAGAAAAATACCATAGGATTGGTGATATCTTTCCAAGAGAAGATGTTACGGAGACAGCAGATCGTTTAAAAAATGAAAGAATGTTCAAAGCATTTGATAGCTTTTAGATATTGTGTTTGGGCCCCAAGGTTACCCTCAGATTTGACAGGTGACTAGAAAGGCTCAGAAAAACTGATTTATTCTGGTAAGAGATTATTACAGTGAAAACTTATAGATTAAAAATAGCAGAAGGAAAAGCAAAGTGGCAAAGTCCAGGAGAAACCAGGCATAAGCTTTCAGGTATCATCTCCCAGTGGAGCTTGGTGGACAACACTTAATTCTCTGAGAAATGATGTGTGAAAAGATGAATGAAGTGTCACCAACCAGGGAAGCTCACTCAAGCCTTGGTGTACAGGGTTTTAATTCAGGTTAGTCACAAGGCATGGACTTTAGCTAACCATGCTCCACCTCCTGCAGTGTTCAAATTGATACAGCTTGGACCAAAGCCCCAGGTTTAAAACAAAGCTTTCGTCATAAATCACATCATTAGCAAAACTATTGGGCCTAGCCCAAGGTGTCAGGTATCTAACACACTGTTACCAGGCAGGATACTCCAAGGCCCAGAGGTTATCTTCCAGAAGCCAGTAAAGGACATGCCCTTCATTTAGAATATATAGTGTTTGAGCACCCAAGCTTGCTAAGTTAATTATTGCACCAATATTATGCTAAATATAGCATCTTTGTGTAGGAATAAAGAGTATATAATATTATAATAATAAATTGAAACAAAAAATCATTGCAAAGACACTAAGTCAGGCAAAAAGAGCTAAAAATTCATAATTCTGAAATGAAACCTGGCTAAAGCAGACAACAGAAGTAATCAAAATAAAGCAAGATCCAAATTAAGTTTCATATTTTCTTTCTTTCACTGACTCATTAGTAAAGACAATTGTGAAATGCTCTTTGAAGGCTTTAAAGTGGAAGAGAAATAGAGTACATAGTTTCTACAAATGTTTAATAATTGTAATAAACAGAAGGATGACTTTATTCAGTCTAAGGCACTCATACCTGACTATAAGAGTCAGCAGCCTACTTGTGGTGTGGCTGGAACTCCCCAAAGCAACCCAGGCAATGCCATTGACATGAGGCGTGTTTCTTCTTTGAACTTGATATGGCTGTAGCTTCAAATGAACATTTTCAAAACTGCAGCATTTCCTTATGATTATATGTAACATCATGAATGTGATTTTAGATAAAAAGCAGAAAATCAGAAGACTTTGAAACCAAGATGAGAAGTATTTTGTAACAACAAGACCATTTTCTTCTTTCCCTTTCTTTAAGGTTCAGTAAACCTACAAAAAACAGTTGGAGGAAAACAAGAAAATTTTGAATACATAGCACATAATAAGATACCAATGTTAAATTTGGGTAGAGTAAAATTTATTCCCTCATGTAACTTTCTTAGATATGTATTTGAGAATGACTATTTCCTTATGCTTATTTAAATATGTATAATCAAATCTAGCATTTTCCCTCTCATTTTACTTTCATTTTCCTCTGTATCTTATATGAATAATGAATACTTAATTTTGATTACAGCAGGAGAAACAAAAATAGTGCAGTAGAACCAATATGTGGAAAGCACAAAGATTTTGTCCATATACAACTATTTTAAAACTTATGCATATTATATATACTGGCACATTACAGATATAAATTTTCTCCCAAACAGTCAGGTGAAAAAAACAAACTGAATTTATGTGTTTTCTAGTGAAAAATAAAATTGTCTCTACCTTCCCCACCATATGATTGCAAAACCCATGTCGGTCATTTGAGAGTTGCCCATGTCCTCCCTTTTATTTTATAGAGCCGAAGCTGGGGGTGGCAGAGCCAGCAGGGCAATAGCCCTGCTTTGCAGTTGATCTTTGCTGCCATTGAAATGCCCATTGTGTCATCCCAATGCCCTTTTCAAAAACAGGTTAATCTGCCAAATGACTCTAATCCTTTCCTGCCTAATCTGGCTCCTGGTACCATCTCTGCACCCCTCAAGTGCAGGATGCTTAGCTAATTAGTGACCAGGTCCCAGTTGCCCCTTCAGCAAATCTGTTGGAACCACTAAAATGTTCTGCTCTCTCTCAAGGATTGCAAACCCTCCATCAGAGTGGAATCGGTCCAACTGCTCTATGTCCAGGCACAAAACCTTCATTTTTTGCTACCCTCCCTCTCCATGAAGATTTGCTTTAATCTCATTTGATGGAAATTAACACCAAGACTCTGACTCAGTGTCAGCGCTTGGAACTCCAGAATCGTCAGAACACAAAGAACTGCCTAAATACTCCTTGATGGAGCAAAGAAAAGTTCCAATTTTGTAGCCAAAGAAGATAGTTACACATTTCATTATCAAAAATTGCTCTGTTATATAGGAGTATGACAAAATTTGTCAAGTGTCAAATATCTTAGCTCTCACGTGCCATCTTTACTATGACTATGTTGTATATTAATATTGCTTTTAAGTCATAGTTCCTATAAAATATCACCTAAACTATTAAACTTCCAAATAATGAGGTTTTTTCTTGTTCATTTTTAAACTTTATTAGGTTAAATACCTTGCAAGTTTTTGGTAATTTAAAGAGTAAGGAGGTTTGGAGATTGTCTGGCTTTGACATGGATTTGTTCTATGATTTACCACAAGCCACTTA